CTTCTTCATGGATCATTTGAACATCTTTGGATCTCCCGGTTTTGACTACATGGTTGAGAATTCCTTGTCTCAATATGACCAACCTTCTTATTAGTCAATCACTTGCGAATTAACACTTTTGAATGATATGAATATGCAAATGCAATAAAATCACAATAAAATAGACAGAGAACAAAAACGGGTTAGTACATGTAAGATAAACAACAAGATAATAAGTATCGTAAACATCAAATAAAAACTACCCTCACATGTTGGCTGCCCAATCATACTTTAGTAGATCCTACCCAACTTGATATCTACCCACATGCTTTGTTGTTCACAAAAAAAGCCTAACCTAATTTTTTCTAGTTCACCAACTTCTTACAAAAAAAAATAAATTCGAGGAAAAGGTTAGAATGAGTTTCCCCTTTGAGAAGAACCGCAGACAGAGATTCATTATAAGATGGATAGAGATTTGGTATCACAACAGGGTCCTCAAATTGTCCTTTACTGGTGCCCCATGGGCTTGCCAAACCCTCGATCCTCACCCATTATAGGCTTAAAACGAATCGAGTTCAATTCGAGAGGGTACATTTCCCCATGTCCATGCGAGGAAACTCAATATTTCACTCGTAAACATGAGGCATGTGTACCTCAGAGGTTACTTGCTAAAGGCCATACAGAGAAAAATAATTTTTCTCACGTAAGCGTAGCGTTCGCCTCTACCTAATGGGACAGAGCACAGTTAGAAGGCTCTAAAAAGGCTATAGCGATAATGGGGAAAACTCATAATCATTTGCCTTGATTCAGAAAAACCAACAGACAAAAGTAAAGGTCAGAAAGCTGAAACATGTAAATCACACGTTAGTACAACTATTTATTAGTTAATCAAATTACAAATTAAAATGTAAACAAAAATTTAAAACAAACAATAGATCAAAAACCAAATTAGAATGAGTTTATAACTTTCAAGTGCAAAGAAAATTAAATAATCGACTATAGGCTTGACTCTATACAAAAAGTCCCCAGCAGAGTCGCCAAGCTGTCGAAACGATTTTTTTCAAAGTGAGATTTTAAAAAACACGCCATTTTTAATTTATCTCTTTTGGTTAATTTTTAATTAAAAAGAATAAATGTGATTTAAAACCCTCTCATTTCAAAAAATTTGGGGTTCCTTTTAAAAATAAAAATGTATGGTCTGAGGAGTCGCCACCAATATTTGATTACGGTGTGATTGGGCACCCAAAAATGTTGTCATTTTAAATAAAAAAATTAAAACAAAAAATTGAGGTATGCGTTACCAAAATTCGAGTTTAGGAGTCGGTTACGCGTGGGGAATGATTAGTACCCCCACAGCGCCCTAAATCGGTACCTAGTCGATTAATCAATTGTCTTTGTAGTAAACTTCATAAATTCAACTTTAATTCAATTTATGATCCCTTCAACAAACATCAGCTGTATTATTTTATACCAATAATCATTTAAAATACCTTCCTAATTAGTTAAGGAGATATTTTATGTTTTATTGTATAAAATAATTTAACCTTAACACATATAATAAATTTAACGATTAAATCAAAAAAATATATAAAAATTCTAAGTCACTCTTGCAAGTACTTCATATTTTAGGTACTAAGAGTGTAAATAATCCTATAATAATACTAAAAATTAAAAATATTAAAACTGAAGGATTAAATTATAACTAATAAAATATTAGTGCTCAAAATATAATACAACATAGCTTCATTAAATGACTAAAATACAAAAGTTACAGACTAGGAGGGACCCAAAATGTAATTTCCCAACACACTGGAATTACGCAGAAGACCCCTGATCAAAATGGCGTCGTTTCGATTGAAGTATAAAAGGCCTAAGCTAGGCCTAAAATCATTTCATTTCATTTGTTTCAAAAACCAGAGAAAGAGAGAATTAAAATTCTCTCAATTCTCTTTCTGGATAAGAAAACGGCCACGACGGTCGACGAGGCCAACGACGACGCACGGCGGCGCACAACGACCAGAGAATACCAACTGACCCCTAAATGTTCCTCTCTTCACACTTAACCCAAAAACTACCTTCAATCGGCCTAAAAACAACCATACAAGCCTAGATCTAAGTTATACCTTTCAGGGAAAAATGAAGAGATCGGCGACCTTTGGCTTCCCTTGATTATTTTAGTGTTTGGTAAGTTTCTTACGACCTCTCTCTTTTCTTTCTAAGTTGGTTCTTTTCTTTGGGTTCGATTTTTTTCTTTGGTATGTTTGAATCCCTCTTTTGTCTCTCTAAATCACCCTATTTTATCTATTTTTCTTCACCGAATACCCTTGACTTATGGTTGCAAGCTAATTTCCTTGTGTTTGGTAGTGTAATGACAAGTTTAGGTGAAATCATCCCGTGATTTTCGGGGTTAGGTATTTTCTTGACTTTGGTTTGATTTCACTGATTTTGCTTCTGTTTTGCTATTGGGTGCATATTTGTCAACGACGGCGAGAATGGCTCGGCAGTGGCTCAGCTTGAGCTGGTGTGCGGCTGCTGTTAAAGTTGGCAGCATCTTGCTTTAGGATTAGGGTTTTAGCAAACCCTAAATAACCATCGATCTGGACCATTGATTTGGGTCCAGATCCAACGGCTAGAATTGAATGGCGGCTGCTGCTAACGATGGAAACCCTAACGGGTGAATCTACATTTGGGCAAGTTCGGGTCAACGGGTTTGCTGAATTTCGGGCTTCATCTGTTCCAAGGCTGTTGTAATTGTTATAATTTTTTTTATTCGGGCCTGTAAACATAAAACCCTTCATTTAGTGAATTAAATTATCATAACATATATATATATATATATAACTACAACTACATAATTAAACACACACATGATAATATAAATAGGTCATCACATGCACAATTTGGTAATAATAACTAATTAGTAATATATATATAAATTGGAGTAAAAACTCGAATGAGAATCTCGGACAAAACGATTATCTACAAGAAGCATTGGGAACTCAGTGATATTTTTGACGTTTTCATTGTGGAGTTACGCGAGCAGCTGAATATGCAAACACAATAAACGTAGAAAAAATTATTTCTTGATTGCAGGGATTTCTTTGCTGAACTTCGCCTACTACTCTTCTTCATGTTTTGTGCTCGAAAATATTAATATAAGGGTAGCGTTAGAATAACGACATAACTGATGAATTTCGCCTAGAAAACTTGGTTTTATTTTTCAGAAACTAGTAAATACACATTTCTCCAAAAGAATTTTGTTGTCCTATATGTCTGTTATGTTCTTCCAAAGCTGTTTTCTCTTCGTCGTCTTCTTAGGGTTTTTAATAAAATATAGGATAAATTACACATTTAGTATCTAAATTATCAATGTTAGTTCATTTTAATACCTAGACTTTCATTTCTTTCAAAATCATACCAAACATTTAGTTTTTATTTCATTTTAGTATCTCGTCATTAAAAACTTAACGGACGAGCTGACGAGGTATAGCTGCAATAGATGGGCGACCTATTCGAACGATGTACCATGAGAGAATGACGAGTCAACCAACATAGTCAAGTTTTAAGCCCATCGGACAATTGACAACGAAGATCGGAGGATGAAGAAGTTGAATAGTTCATCATCAATTTGGAGAGATTGAGGTATTTTCTGGTGAAACTGAGGCCGGAATCACTTTTAGGGGTCGAAAAGGTGGGAGCTAGAAAGTTTGGGCTTCACCGCCCGACGGATGCTACGGTCGACAACCGTAGATGCCGGCGAACCCCTACGTTAAGTTTTTAACAGTGAGATACTAAAATGAAATAAAAACTAAACGTTATGTATGATTTTAAAAAAAATAAAAATTTTAAGTACTAAAATGGACCAAAAACAATAGTTTAGGTATTAAACGTGTAATTTATCCTAAAATATAAATTAAAAAGTTTTTAAATTCCACGAGTATTAAAGCTAGGTCATTTAGATGGATTTTGATTTTTTTAAGGCTTAATACACTTTTAGATGCCTAAACTATACCTCAAATTAACTTAGTGTTTAAAGATTTTTTTTGTTAAAAATAAGTATCTAATGTTTTCTTCGTTACACTTTTAGGTGTTGACCGTAAAAAAAACGTTAAGTGACACGTGTCACATTCAGATTTTTAATTAATATTTTTAAAAAAAATCAAAAAATATGAATGTGACACTTGTCACCTAACGGATTTATTTTAACAGTGGATACCTAAAAGTGTAACGGAGAAAACATTAGACACCTATTTTTAACAAAAAATTCTTTAGACACTAAAAATTAATTTGAGGTATAATTTAGGCACCTAAAAGTATATTAAGATTTCTTTAATTATCTTAGTAGACTTTCATTACTAGATTAATTGGAATTAATTGTGAAAAGATTAAAACTGAACAAATTGATAATGTAAGGATTAAAATTGATCTTTTTTTTGTAATCACTAATTAAAATCGAACGCACCAAAAAATTAAGGGCTACTTGTGTAATTTATCCAAAAATTGAATACATAAAAAATTCGGTAAATTACATGTTTAGTATGTAAACTATCAGTTTTGATCCGTTTTAGAATCAAAATTTACAAAACTATACATGAATTTTAGTTTTTATTTCATTTTAGTACTTTGTTCAAAATTTAACGTTAAGTTTTGCAAAAAATTAATAGTTTAGGTACTAAAACGGACCAAAATTGATAGTTTAGGTACTAAAACACATTAAAGTTTTTACAACGGATGCTAAAATGAAACAAAAACTAAATGTTAGGTCTGGTTTTGAAATAATTAAAAGTTTAGGTACTAAAACGATCTAAAATTGATAGTTTATGTACTAAATGTGTTGTTTACCCAAAAAATTATTAGGTAAATTATTAGGAAACATACTGCTAGAGAGCATTCTTCTATGTTTAGGAATATTGTGTATTCTAGACCTAATTTAGGAGGATTGAATTCATTAGCAGATTTTTTTTTTTAGATTTATTTTAGGTGGGATGGGATTTACTTTACCCTGGCCTTTTATGAAGTTTATATGTCAGTTTTATTATGTTTGTAGGTTAAATGTTGATTTTTGAACCATTTCAATATTGATAATTACTGAGTATGTTATTCTGGAGGATTTGTTCTACATTACCTAGAGTAAATTGCTTTGAAGCATTTACTTAATCAGGGTTTTGAATTAAACCTTTCAGATGAGAATGCCTCAGAGCAATGTTATTATTCTGACTGATCCAGTATCAGATCTCTCATTGCACCAGACCGGAGTTACTGTACTTCCCATTCGGGGCGAATATTCCAGAGACAAGTTGATGCATCAAAGAATCAGGTCTTATATTGTAAGGGCAAATCGTACTGATATATAGGTAGAAAAGTTTTGCCGTTACTTTATATCATGTGGGTATAAGTCCAAAATATGTAGTTTAATTAAGAAAAACGTTATCCTAATTTAGCTGCCAAACTGTCATTTTTCTATGTAGACCTTTCTCGAAATCAAGCTTGAGAAGCTATCTCAGGTGCAGGGGCATATAACTCATTTCATCTTTACGGACTCAGATATCGCTGTAATTGATGATCTGGGTCAGATATTTGAACACTACCAAGACTTCCATTTGGCTCTCACTTTCAGGAACAACAAAGATCAGCCTGTGAATTCTGGATTTATTGCGGTGAGGGGTACTCATGATGGTATTTTAAGGTTGAGACCCCTTTTTACTCTTACTATATCTGCAGTAAATCTAGAAGAAACATTATCTTTTCTTTCTTGATATTTTGCATCACGCAGCCAAAACTCTCTAAAGAAGCTGAATATGTGAAATTGCTCGCAGGGCAAAATTTTTTCTAGAGAAAGTATCAGAAGTATATAGCTCCAGATACATGAAGGCTTCCCGAATGCTTGGTGATCAGCTGGCCCTTTTCTGGGTTGTAAAGTCCGATGCTTCTTTCGATGCAAAAAGATTTAGTAAAGCACAGGCTTTTACCAATGAGATTGGTGGTGCATCAGTGCTGTTTTTACCATGTGCTACATATAATTGGACACCATCCGAGGGTGCTGGTCAGTTTCATGGCATGCCTCTGGATGTCAAGGTATGTATAAGTCTTTCATGATCATTTTGGTTGCTAGTTTAATCTGAAATCCGACTGTATTTTATGCTTAAGCTGTTTCATGCATGAATTTCTTGTAAATTTCGATTTTTACTGGATGTAGGTTGTTCATTTTAAAGGATCAAGGAAACGCCTAATGCTCGAGGCTTGGAACTATTACAGTTCTTCTACTGACATTTCAGATATGCTGTGCCTCATCTTGAAGAGTGGGAGAACAAAGTATTACTTTTGAGTGAATTCATTTGGTTATAGCGTGGATACTGCATCTTATGATACATTGGTGAAAGGGAATGAATGGCTGAGGCTTTATACAAATATCATTTGAAGAGAGCTTACTCAAGATCGTGGAAATGTACAATTAGCAATTTTTTTTCTTAAATTTTATTTGAAGAACTAATGCAGTACAAATATGTAGAATTTTAGTTTTGGTTCAAACAAATATCAAAAGTGAACCTGAGGGACCGAAAACGTTGACAATATTTTTCATTTTGCAAGTGCAGATTTTAGCCGTGATTAAACCCTACTAAATATATAGGGTAAATTATGTATTTAGTCACTCAATTATTCTCACAATTTCATTTTGGTCATTCAATTTTTTTAAAAACTTTACGTTTTGATCACATGTTATTAGAAAAGTAATAGTTAAAATAATGTCACGTCATCACTAAAAAATAAAAATTATCATATAAGATATATTTAAACAGTTTTAACACTGGGCTGTCAAAATGTGAGTTTAAGTATGATTTTGGGGAGAAAAAACAGTTGAGTTACTAAAATGGAACCGCATGAATAGTTGGATGACTAATTATAGTTTAAACAAATATATATTACTTTCAATGAACCAACCATGTACCTTTGGCTATATTAAGTATGTTCAAACCCCTGAAAAGTTACTAAGACACCATCTTTCATGTGGGATAAATGACAATGGACAGGCTAAGTAAAACACTTGAAAACATGTGCTTCTATTGACAATGGACTGCCTACTGTTCCACTAATTGTTAAGCTGAATGATTCTTAGATCATGGACTATAATGGGTAGCACTTAGTTAAGAGTGCAAGAAATTAAATAAAGAAAAATCATAAAATAAGTGAAGCATAGTCATTCCTGAAGTTCAAAAGCTTACAAATACAATTTATTCAAACCAAAAATAGTAATTCATATGAACGTATGTCACTTCCATTAATAAAATGAAAACAACAATGTCTCTACTCCAGGGAAAGAAAATGTACAATCCTTCAATGCAGGCACAAAGATCTAGCATTCACTTGGGATAGATAGTCGACAACATATCATGTATTAGTGAGCTTGTTTTACTGGAATTGCATAGCAATGAACACGTTCACCAATTACAGCACAAGCTATTACCAGTCATGAATTCCACAATGCCAAAACTAACAACAATTACAGTACATGGAAAATGATTAAAAAAAGTTTTTTGGAGTGCCACAACAGCAAACAATGTCCACTGATCACAAAATTGCTTCAAACTAGGACATGACATCCCTCCTTATATGAAACAACAAATAATTGGGCAAAGAACTGAGAAATGTCAAAAACCAATGTGCAGAATGATAATGAACAAGAATTCAGAGGATCCTACTACAACATAAAGAAGGATTATCCAGCAGCCTTCTTCCCCCGGAATAGTAACCGGGTTACCATCTGACAAACTTATATTCAAATCGGTTGAGGGCTTATATTCAAGCTCCCTCTTAGCCAAGCTAATATTAGCATGAGTGAATCGAACATCCCCGTTTTGCAGCAACTTGATAATTGTCTTCTTTACATTGACCTTCAAAAGCCTCTCCAAGATGCTCACGAGATCCGAAACCGGAACGGGCAAAGTATTCCCCCAAATTATATATCTTGAATTGAGCCAGAACTTTCTTCTTCCCCCCACTACCTGTACTCTTCTCAGCAGTATCCAATGCTGCTAAACACCCTTTCATAATATCATCAATGTAGGTAAAATCTCTAGCTACTGTACCATGATTAGCTGCTTCAAATATCCATATGGTTTCCCTTTCAAAATATCCCTAGTTATGAAGAAATAAGTCAAATCTGGCCTTCCCCAAGGGCCATCTGGCCATATGTAGACACTCGTTTTTGTCTAAGTCTTTTTTTTATTATTATTATTATGAAATAACATTATTACATCTTGTAGGCTCCATAACCCGAAGCCCAATACAAGCCCAAACCCAAAACCCACATGAAAACCCATCAAGTTTCTGCCTCAACTCCAGCAGCCCATCAGGAGACCAAGCTACTCGAATCTGACCCGAGTGACCCATCAACCCAGACCCAACTAGAACCCGGTTTAGCATCCCACCACATCAGCTGAGCCGAACCAGCCCACATACAGATCCGACCCGTTTGGTAAACCTTAAGTAGATTAGGGTTTCTACCCTAATCCCCTAAAATTAGCTCAGCCGCCACCGTCGATTGGTCTTCCACTTCCCAGCCGCTCAAGCCGAGATGTTTCACCGTCGCCGTTGTTAGACATCCGTACCTACAGTGACCGAAAGCCCATCAAACAGTGGAAAAATCAGAGAAAATCAGAAAAATAAATCCCCAAATCTTATCCTAAGTCTAGGATATTATTACCCTATCTGAGCACTCATATCCATCAACAACAAACTATTAGAGAAGGAGGAAGATAAAAGAAGAGAAACAGAAAGAAAGGAAACCATTCGAGATTGGGGGGGGGAGAAAAAATCGAGGAGCCAATAGGTGAGAAAAAAACCCAGAGAAACAACCGAAACGAAAAGAAAAGAAAAAGGGGGAACCATTCGGTGAGGGTTGAAAAAACCAAAACCAAAAACAACTATAAAAAAAAAGAGAGAGACTAAGAACCCTTACCCCAATTGTCCATCGTAGTTTCATCAGACCGAGGAACCCATCTCCGAAGTTAAAAGTCCCCTTCTTTTTTGGACATGGTTTTAGGGTTTGAGTTTTGGGTTTCTTAGGGAGATACAGAGGTGAACGAGAGGAAAAGAGTGAAAGGGGGTTCTCGACGAGTTGTGCTCCCCATGGCCACCGAGATGTGGTGGCCGGAGACAAAACACAAGTTCGGCAAGAAATTGAATTTAACTCCAGGCTATATCAAAACGAACTCGCTTTCTACCAAAAGCAAGTTCCATTAATCGCCTACACGTAAGGCACATCTAAAAAATGTACTTCAATAAAAATTTGACAAAAATAATACTATAAGGATCAAAAATATAATTTGATACATTTTAGTTTCATGAATAATTTTAATGATATTAGTTTATATAGGCATTCTGGAGTGTTTAGGCAATGTTTATTAGCAATGCAGGATAAAAGCTAAAATGAGTTCTTTTATATTTTTCCTAGGTAATTTTTAGTTTTTCTTTACTTGATCCATTAAACTTTATTATTAAATTATATATAAACTAAAATTAAATATTTTGATAAATTTATTTTTATTAAAAGTTAATTTTTATTAACATTAAAGATATAAGAAAATTTTAATGAAAGAATTTGTCAAAATTTGCCAAATTTTTTATTAAAAGTTAATTTTTATTTACATTAAAGATACAATTGAAATTGTTTTATGTAACACTAATAATTTACTTTCAATTCTAAAAGAACAATAAACAATACCACTTTAAATGAAACAACAAAGGATGGATTTCATAGCAAATTTTATGTCTAATGATCTCTAATGAAATTCCTTTGAAAAACTTATATTATGATTGCAAGAGAGGAACAATTTTAGGAACAATAATAATTGAATTGTTTCATGGATTTCATTAGGGATCCACTCTAAATAAGTAATTTTTGACAAATTCTTTCGTGGAATTTTCTTGTACCTTTAATGCTAATGAAAATTAACTTTTAATAAAAATAAATTTATCAAAATATTTAATTTTAGTTCATATATAATTAAATAATAAATTTAATGAATTAAGTAAAAATAAAAACTAAAAATTACATGAGAAAAATGTTAAAGAACTTATTTTAGCTTTTATCTCTCATTGCTAACAAACATAGCCTAAACACTTCACTATGCCTATATAAACTAACACTATTATGTTTTTTAACTCATGTAGCTAAAATGTATTAAATTACATTTTTAGTCCCTATAACATTATTTGTTTTCAAATTTGATTAAAGTGCATTTTTTAGATGTGCTTTGGTTTGTCAGTGAAACTTGCTTTTTGCATAAAGCGAGTTTGTTTTGCCATATCCTAGCGATAAATTTAGTTTCTCGTTAAACTTACATTTTGTATAACGTGAGGTCGTTTTCCCAAACTTAATATTGGATCTTGCGTTCTATAGAAAGCGATGTCCTTTAATCGCATTTTTCATAATGCGAGATAATTTAAATGTTATAGAAAAATATTTATATATATTTAATTTATCATAATATTTGTAACTTTTTATTATAATTTTAAATATTTTCAATTTTTAATAATCACGACTTCTATTAAAAAAATAGCGCGGCAAGAGATCTTTCATGCATGAAACAGTCAAATAAAACCCTGACCTAAGTTCGGGGAAAAATAGGGATGGTCAAAATGCCCGAACTCAATGGGAACCGACCCAACTCAACCCTATAGGGGTGTTTTTTAAAATTTTGGGGTACTGGGCGAGGTGGTTTATATGATAAATAATTTTGGGGTAGGTTGGGACCAGGTTTAAAGTGGAAAAAATAGCCCAACCGGACTTGGTTTAAATTATGAATTTTCTTTATATTTATATAATATATTTAAAGTTTTAAGTACTTTTATTTTTATATTATTAAAAATATAAAACATTATTATATAATATATTATTTTAATAATTTAAAATATAATAAATAATTATAAATATATTATTTTAAAATATTAATATATTCGGGTCAGGCCGAGGTTGATATTTTAATCTAAAATTTGGGACGGGGTTGGGGAGACCAAAAATCCGACCTCCCTGTCCTGTGCTCATTCCTAGGGGAAGTCTAAGGAAAAATAACCTAATTTAATACTGAAGAAACACACATCCGAAAATATTATCAAAATCATAACATTTTCTGTTGGACGCAACCTAAATTATTAACTTTTTCTTAATATTTTTCGGTTAAAAACTTTCTTTATAACATTTTCAATTAACAATTGAAAATATTATTTTATACATAACATTTTAAGTTACATCCAATAAAAAATATTATATTATTTTATAATATTTTTAATCACGTACATTTTCTATTGTTAACCTAAAATTTGACTGCAGTAGAACTAATCTTTCGGTGGTTGTGTAAAGTTTATACTTGTCCGAGGTATGCCGAATGCCCTGTCC